TACTTGAGCTCTCAGCGATTCGGGTTTTATCTCCTCAATCATCGCAAAACGCCGTCCTTTCATGGGTCTCTTCAATCTTGAGAACAGGAAAAAAGTCGCAGGGGGGCAAATCTGGCAAATACGGTGGCTGATAACGGTTTTGTTTTTGGGCAAAAATCTACGAATATACAATGTTGAGTGATCAAATGAACTATCGTGATGCAAAAACCACAAATTGTTTTTTCATAATACCGAACGTTTTCTCCGTATTGCTTCTTGCAAGCGGTGCATAACTTCAAGATTATACTCCTTTATTGGCCGTAGCCAGAACTCCTGATATAATCGAAGAAAACAGTGTCCAAAACCTTGACACATTTGGTCTTCTTTTAGAACAATTGGACTTTGGTTTCGATGTTATGACCATATACACATGACTCGTCACTAGTTATGACCCTTTTAAGCAAATCTAGATCGCCGTTAACGTCATTCAGCAATTCCTGAGCGACGCTCATGCGACGATTTTTTGGTAAAAACTCAGCAATTTTGGAATGAACTTCGCTGCCACACGCATCATGTCGAAAATTTACGAAAAAATTGCAAGGCATGAGCCAGCCGATATGCCGACATCCTCAGCATCTTCTCTTATAGTGATTCGACGACACTACCTGAACATTTTCATCGGTTGTTGATGTGCTAGGGTATTCCGGGCGAGCGTCGTTATTCACATCTTCTCGACTTTTCGTGAAAAGCTAATACAACTTGTAAATATTATTTTGATTCAAAGTGCAATCACCGTATGCCACTGTCAACATTTCAAGTGTTTTCGAGCACCTTATTCCGTTTTCACACAAAATTTGATGCAAATTCTTCTATCAATTTTTTCCATCGCCAAACACACCAACAAACTAAACATGCTATAAACAGCTGAAACTGTGAACATATGTTCGCTAATCGCTAATATTCGCCCGCGAAATTTGAACGTTCACCTTATTTTTTGAACAGTTCACGTATTATTACATCAACATACTATGGCATCAATAAATTAGGCGAGGTGTGAAAACTTGCTCATTCGGAAATTACAGGAGAAAGAAAAAGAGAATCACACCACTAGCAGCAATAGAGATACTTTGAGTCTGCCTCCATTTTTTAATAATAAGAGAGACAAGAGTGACCCAATGCAAACTGAAAATTCACCAAGTTACTAGGGATTAGACATAACAGAAATTTAGAAATACATGTGGGAACAAACATCAAACGATTTAGAGACTACTTTATGGTCAGTTAGAGTACGTCTGGCCTAGCCGGTGAGATGCGCTGTGTGGAAAGGGAGACGCATTTCCCAGATCATGGTTGTAACAGTGGCTCAGTGAACAATATTTTCATACTTAACATAGGTACTGTTTCCCAGGACACTGAGTAATCACACACAACGAAAAAGCTGATATTGCCCTTGACACGAATTATCAATATTCAAATCAATTCTTCATTCATCAATTTTAGTAATACAAGTATGTATAGGACAAGTCAAAAATACATAGACATACAACATGTGGGTACAAAAGATTGTAATAAAATATATACCTACATAGAATACAACTTACATGTGACAGTCATATATACAGTGCATTCCGTTTAAAACGAGCCACCCTGAATAACTTTTGAAATGATTTGCAGGAAAAATAAAAAACACGTCAACCAACAGGGGGACACATTTTGACATATTCACATTTGATGTTACTTCCCCTATCGCACCCCCAGAGCATGTCACCAATTTTTTTCAAAATGGATCACCCTATATTGTTTCGCATTATCAGATGCTCCATGATGAGCAGATTTCAACAAAGTATAAAACATATGGTCTGAAGCTTATGGTTCGGGAGCTACAAATTATTTTAGTTGAAAACGAGCCACCCTAAATAAATGTTGGAACAATTATTTTCAGGAAAAATAAAAAACACCTCAGCAATACAGTATACAGGGGGACAAATATTATTTGAGTTGAAAACGAGCCACCCTGAATGAACTTCTGTACAAAAAAACTGTTTTCCCGTTAACCAGCTGTCGCACCTCTACGAACGACAACCCTCAGAAGTCGAAACTTGTGCGAGCTAAGGACTAACGAGGTCTTATACCTTTTCACGTGTGATTCCTATTTTGTCTAGTTAAGTTAGCAATGCAATGGTTTATACGCTTCGAGAACTGATTGAAATAGTGAGTTTGCACTACCAGAATGGAAATGATGCTAGAGCTGCTGCCCGTATGTTCAATGATAATCATCCAGGACGAAATGTACGACACAAATACGTTTCGGAATTTTTGAACAAATTTATGGAAACTGGATCTGTTAACAATAAAAAGCATTACAGGAGTTGTCAACAGTGAAGCTATATGTACTGCAGTTTTAGGGCACGTTGGAGTAATGAAAAATTCACAAACTCTTACTAAGTTTTCTCGAAAATCAGAAATCAGTCGTACAAATGTTTTCAGGATCCTTCATAAGTACAAATTTCATGAATTGAACGAAGATGATCTCGATAGACATATAGAATTTTGTGAAACTCTCACTGAACGGATCAACTGACATCAGAATATCTTGTATACAATTTGTTTTTCAAATGAATGTACGTTTAGTTTGAATGGAGAGGTGAATCGGCAAAATTGTCGATATGTACGAATCCTCATTTACACCGTCAAGTTCATATCCAAGGACCTCAAAAACTGAATGTTTGGGCAGGAATTTTAGGTGACCACATCATAGGACCTTTTTTTATCGATGATAATTTGACTAGTGATAAATATTTGGATATGTTGGAGAATCGAATAATACCGTGCATTAATAGGACATTTGAGGTGGATTTAAATTTATTCGAAAACGAAATATTCTTTCAGTGGGATGGTGCACCTCCTTATTATGTAGCTCCAGTGCGACAATTTTTGGATGATCATTTTCCTGGTCGCTGGATTGGCAGAAGAGGTCCTATCACTCCTATAGATTTCTTTCTATGAGGTCATTTGAAGTCTAAAGTGTATGAGATAGAATCAACAACATTAGAAGATTTGAGAGAGAATATCATGAGGCGTTGCAGAGAAACAACTCCCGAGATTTTCAACCATGTGAGGGCGGCAATGGAAGCTCGTTTGTATCATTATATAGATGGCAGTACAAGATGTAGGTAATGATTGGAAGCTCACTCCTGATCGAGTGGTAGTCAGTCATTAGAAACAATTGCGTTTTGTTGTTGTGTTATTGTGATGTTATAAATGAAGTGTATTTCACAATGCCGAAATCCTGATCAACTCTGCATTATCCCATAATAAATATCCAAAATTACGAGGTGAACAAAGCCTGTAAAACTTTGATAGGTTATTAATTTCATTAACTACTTGAATATAAATTGCTCCACAGGAGTTAAGGATATTGATGGTTTCCTTTGAAAAAATTATATGAATATTGTATATATAGTAACTAAAAATATAGTAACACGTTTTTGTGAAAAAAAAAAGAAAGTTTTAGAAATGCTGGTTAACTAACAATATAAGTAATGCAAATAAAAAAAAATTTAAATTTTCAGTAGATCTAAGTGTGCGTCAATTACAATTTAGCAACATTTTGGCTATCAACTAGGTTGTGGAACATTTAAAAAATCTGTTTAAAATCTGTTTTTCCGTTAATCAGCTGTCGAACCCCTACGAACGACAACCATCAGAAGTCGAAACTTGTGCAAGCTAAGAATAAACGAGGTCTTATTTTTTAAAGTATGATTCCGAACACGGGTTGGACGATAGCAAGTGAATATCGATCGTTCAGACTTGGGCTTGAACCACCGTCCAACAGGGCAGTCAATTCGAGTGAGTGAACAAATTGCCTGGCTACCAACCTGTGGCATTTAATTCCAAAGTTGAGGCAAAATGACCCTAGGCTGGGCCATTGTTTCTACAGTGGTACTGAGCTCATTTAACCATTTTTGTAGCATATACCATTGAGCAGTTGAGGACTCGAGATAAGGTAGGTAGAGCAACGTGTGGAAATTGGTTAATTTCTATACATCAAGTATACATATCTGTCTGAGATTATCATCCAAAACATGAAAGTTCTAGTCTTCTAGTCGATAGCAGCATGAATATTTAGTATAACATACTGCACTATATTGCATTCCCTCGCAGATATAAAGGTAAGTGTGGCTATTGAAATATATGCCACCCGCCTCGGTAAGGGAAGTTCTAGGTAAGGCCCATAATCTGATTCTTCGACTATCTGAGAACCTAGCATACCTGGATACATGAAAAGAGCTGACCTCTATTCATTGTAACAATGAATATGATTCTCTTGACGAATGTAATCATTGTTGCTTGTGAATTTAAATGATCGGGAATTCATCGCAACAGCTGTTTTTAACTCAAATGTAATATACATCATTTGAACGTCTTTTTATTGTTTCAATCGAAATGTTCGTTCTTGTGGCATGCAAATTCATTGCGTCAAGAGTCTACACATAGATAACCCTCTATGCAATTAACATAATGGTTTTGTGGACCACCCATCCTATGTCTTTGTAAAACAATACAGTTTCATTAAATCGTCTAATAAGTATACTTATAGTTGCAACACATTTAATTCATCTTGTTTTAAGCATTCACCCTGCATTATGACGATTGCTCGATTAGCTTTATCCTTTGTTAATTTACATCTTACATTTTAAAGGATGTATAAATTGAAATAATACTAGATAAAGACTATATTATTATCATGTACAGTGAAAAGTTAGCCAACTATTGTACAAGGGAACAGAACCTGTTTTGTATTCAGAGGTGACCAACAATTTCTTTCATTGTCATTTATTACACTCTATTCAATATATCCCTAACTCTTGTAGAGCAGATTATCATTCACATTTTCAAATAAACTATGGAAAACAACTAATCTTAAGTTGGAGTATAAAAAGTGATAGTAAGACTATTTACTATGATTAATATAACTGTCTAATGATGAAAGGTGTGAAAAAAAAATTAAATTTTTCAACAGTATTCTAAAAAGAGTTTTATTCAACAAAATGATATGAAATCACATTCCAAATGAAAATAAGTGTTATTGAGTTTTCAAAATCACTAATTTGGCTAATTAACAGATCAAAATTCATCCCCTTTCTGAGAATTTACTATTATATGGAACCCATATTATTTGAGAAATTTAAAAAATCAAATTTCCCACCTGAGACCTGAAAATTCTAAACTGGATATCGTATTGTGATACTAGAAGTGTAAATGCAATTCCTTTTTTGGGAAAATTTCACTACTAGTATTTTGTTAACTTACTTTTTATTTCCATAATCAGTGATAATGAACAGAAGAAATAAATTTACTGTTATTGGAATGGAGATATTCACAAAATGTTATGTTTTGACACAAGATATGACACTTGCTTTTATTCAGGTTTGATAGAGAAGATACTCCTTCAGAAGTTTAGGTAACGGCAAAGATGAAACAGCCTTCGTTGTAATATGTTGAAGAATAGCATCTCTACATGCCGATTGCAAACTAGGAACTGGAAAAAAAAGTTTCTTTTCAATTGCATATTATTTTCAGGTTGTTTAATCATTTACTCCATTCGGTACTTTCAGGTAGTTACTGAGACAAAATATAGGAATATAATTTCAGCAAAAAATGCCTGAAAGTACTGACCAATGTTGAACTGATGAAAGAAATATTGCTTTTCATTATTTCACTGGGATGCTCAACTCGCAGTTTTGCTTTGTAATTAAGAGTGAAAAATGTTTATTGGAAAAAAATTAAGAATTGGTGACTCATATGTTACTGAAATGACCAGCCCAAAAGCATTGGTGGGCTTGGTCAGAATGTGGTCACTGCCAGTTGTATTAGTAGTAGAACATTATTTATTTCGGTTACTCTAATAATGTAAGCAGGATGAAATACTCAACTGATGATGATATTTGCATATACAGTGAGATTTTAAAATTAAAAAAAGGTACACACAATACCCAATACAAAATAACAGATAGAATAAAAAAATTATATATGCAAATCTAGTCAAATTATAGAAATGTAAACTATTTTGCAATGCGACGTTTCGATTTTTGTAGCCACTGTCACAACAAATTTAGCTATGTATTACAATACAGGGCAATACAATATCATTTACGAGATAGCAATAGTGGAATCAGCTGAAAAACAGCCTGTAAATATAAAGTGGGTACAGTGAGAATGTCTGATTTCTTTGAATAATTCTCTGTATTGACTTCTTGGTGCAACATTTTATATTTATTTATGGCATTGCCTATTTTTACCAAATAAACACTACTGCGTAAGGAAAAAATGTAAAAAATAAGCCACAACCAATTACAATCTTTTCAGTTTTTTAAAATGAGTCCAAAGAATAATTAAAAAATTCTAAATCCACATTGTAGGTGTTTGCAAGTCTCAAAGTTCTTCCTATAAACTCATTCTGGCCATAGTTGGTATGATAAAAGAGTACTTTGAAGATTACTGTATTTCTTGTTCTCTTTGGATTCACATTCAAAGTTATAAGTTCAACTCATAACTTTATTCCGGGGAATTAATGCTACCATTGAGTATTTTGTGAAGATCTGATTCTAATCTTCTATGAGCCAGAGTATTCAAGTTAAGAATGTCCAATATAATTTTATAGTTATATTCACCAATATGATATGCCAGTTTGTATGCAAAGTACCTTAAAAACTCGTTTTGAACACTTTCAAGCATATCAATATCCACTTTATATAAGGGGCACCAAATTGTGGAGTAGTATTCGATTATTGATCTAACAATTGAACAATATATGATTTATAAGGAAGAGAGAGATAATTCCCCTGCCGATCTAAGAGTGAAACCTAACATTTTAGTGATCTAGTAGTAACATTTAAAATATGGGGTTGGAATGACATTTTTGGATCAAGAGTGATTCCTAAATCTATTATTGTATTTGTTGTTTCCAGTTTCGATTGTTTGATTCTATATGGTCTATTTGAAGGACTTGTGATTCATAAAAAAATAAATTTATGAAATTTATCTATATTCAACTGTAATAAGTTTATATCACACCAGCATAGGTTCAAAGTTATATAAATCGTATTGTAATAGTTCAGTATCAAATAAGTCATGAATAACTTTGAACATCTTCAAATTATCAGCCAAACTGAAGAAATTCACTATATTACTCTGATTACTGTTTTCTGGGTATTGAATGTTTTATGAAGTTATGGAGAAGCTTCCCCAAAAATTGAACCATACTGTAATGCCGATTGAACTAGTCCATAATACATATTCATGCATGCATTCTAAGATAATGTTTTTTTAATAATGATAGGTATAAAACAACGGATACTTAATTTTGGAAATAAGTACCTGGTTACTATGAGTATATGGTGTATCCATTTCTGTTTGCAGGGGATCAGATTCACCTGATCAGTTGTTACAGTTAGTTGAGTAGAACTTTATCCATTTGTGTGGTTAACATTAATTAAATATGATAAGGGTTCTGCAATAAAGACAGCTACCACTTTTAAAATTTACCAATAATTTCTTCAGTACCTTTGGAAGGTTTGAAACAAACAAAAACACTAAATATACAATTTTGAGAAAATTGAATATTTTGTATGGAAAAAATGGAAGTGGAAAGTGAATAATTGTCCACAGTGCTGAGAAGTTGTCATTTCACAAGTTTTTATTACCAGAAGCGAGTTCCTGAAATTGGTAACTCTAAGACTTTTGAGAGGCCGTATCTCTGAAAGTAGAATAGAGCACCATGTTTTGACTTCAGATTCGTGGTTAGGAGTGTTACTGAAAAATGTTACCAATTTCTTGGAGTTCACAGATGAATCAATATTTTTTCATCAATATAACTTACCAACATACAACTGTATTATTCTAACTTTTTTGGTAGTACCATAAACATCAACTACCACATGTAAAGGTGCTTCTGTAAAAGGAATATTTTTGACACATGCTCCCTGATCTTCTCCATTGATGATGTAATGCATGTCAGCCTCCAATTCATCTGTTGGAATATACATAACTCCAATTCTGCTTCCCATATCAGTTGGAAGTATATCGGTAGAGAGAGAGCGGTTAGGCTTGAGGAGGCTCATAGGAACAGTTCCTTGGCAGGTTTTAATTGAATTACCATCACTTCTAGCTACAGTGCGAAGTCGCCTGCTTTTACTATCATCACATTCTTCGTATTCAAATACTCTGTTGTGGGCTTTACTTATACCATAAATCCACGAAGTTCCAATATCGGCAAGGTCTGGTAAAGCATATTGAGGTATAGAACCTGTTCTGTAAATTGTAAGAGGATCCAGTTGAGTTAATCCTAACCTCATGTGGCCGCTCCAGCCAGTTTCATGCTGTTCAATTTCCATTAGAAAAATTTCGCCAGGTTTCAAAGGTTTTTCACTGAATGTTACAGCATTTGCGAAACTTTTTTTTCTATAGGCTACTGTGTTGTCGTCCGAAAGCACTATATTTTCCCCATGATAAGGGTGGAATCTGGTTATGGAATTCCTGTTACTGGACATTGAGATAATATTAGAATATATATAATTATATATGTATATATAGAAAGAATAGCTTCGTTATTGAAAATAACGAGGACATTTAACCATTGAATGAATATACAGAATAAATAACTTGATTATTGAAGATTAAAGTAAATATTTTTATTTTATTTTTGTTCGTTNCATCATATCAGAATATAGGACTAACAATTTTCTCAAGTTTTGTTTAATAGGAGCGTGTCCTCAAACCACTTATCTTAACGTTACTGCCTGCAGGGGCGAGGGGTTCTTTTGCAAAATGAGTTTTCTTTAATGAGGGGCCAACCAAATTCAATAATTTATTGAATAATGAGAGAGTGACCCTGAAATAGTTGAAATATTTCTCTGGATCACTAATTCTCATTTATTTTAGCCACAAGATTGTGATATTCTCCATATTTTCTTCTATTTTTGAAAATATTTCCCACTATAAAGACGGGGTTTTCTCAATGAAGCTTTTTATGGTGAAGTTGATATAATTTGAACAACCTGACACATTCGTCCATTTCGGATTCAATTTCGATGTATGGGCTTAAAAAACGAGAGTCAAAGCAATATAACTACTTTGTATGTTGACGTATAACATTTTGCGGAAATCGCAAAAAAGTTTAATTTTTTCAACTTTCTTACGATAAACACGACGCCATTTCAAATCGCACTTTTTATGCGATGTTCGTTCCAACATGAACTAGACTTTAGTCTTGTTGTTTTGTTCAATGGTATCAGCTTCCATAGACAGCCCTTCTTATTGTGTAATATACGCTAAGGAAACCTTGTCTTGAGAGTGCAGAAGTCTTGTTTCCATAATTATGCATTCCTTCTATATTCTACTACTGCACGGGTGCTCCACACGGGTGCAATGCTGATACTAAATATACATATAAACGGATGCAATCGCATCCGTTTGTTGTGAATGGCCATATTGATCTATATTAAATGCACAAAGTATTTAAGGTATCTAATTGGATAAGGACTAATGCTGTACCTATATATTGCTTTAAATCGCTTCGTAAATAAGCCATTATTTCTCGAGGATAAAAAATGGTTATCTTTAAAAGATGGACATATACCACCGCGGACTTTTTTGCAGACTTCTTTAAGATGTACAATAATGTGGTACATTTTTTATCTATCTCGCTTACGAGATAGATCTTAATTCAGCCAGCATTTGCAATGTAAGTGAAAAAAAATGTGTTTTTTTGCATCACATGTGCTTCTCTACTATATTATGCATGTTCTGTATCTGTAGAGTAGGGAGGGTGAGTGTAAGCCCACACCACTNAATTTTGCCACTAGAAATAGATTTTTGTCGTTTCTATCTCGTTTTTTGGTCAAAAACCCCAGAATTACAATAAGCCATAGGACTTATTATCGAAGTTGAACACAATCTTGAAACAGTTTAGAATTATTTTTCAGTTTGTGTTGCTAATAAAGCGGTTTTTTTAGTTATTTAATTATATTTATTTACCACTGTTTAGTTTGGCTGGCTATTTCAAACCCATTTGTTTGAATATAAAATATATACGCATGCGCATACAGTGTGGTTATCTCACTTGCTCTCACACAATCTTTGTGTAAGGAAATTATTTTAGCCTAGCGATCCTGCAGAAAACTATAGTGAATCACACCAGCCACTGATCACCATACAATTACCATGGTCTTTTTTGGTGGGTTTTCGCCTTCGGGAAGTGATTGGGTGGTTTATTGGTGTCCAACCACTGTCCTGAATGTCTCCACTTTTCATCACACGTGACATCCGATCCAAAAAAGGATCGTTTTGGTTGCACAAAAGCAAAGAACAAACCTTGAAACCTGACAATTTCTGTCGTTCGTTCAAATCGTGGGAACCCACTTTTCAAGCTTTTTGACCGTTCCAACACGTTTCAAACCGTCAAAAACCACATGGGAGCTGACACCTAGTTCTTCCGCCATTCCACCAGGGCTCCCAAATCCTCGTTCTGAATTACTGTAGATTGACCATTTCAGGGTATATGTACACTTCCCTTCATTTTATGAAAGTGATCTTTGACTCACACATTATTTTAAGTACTATGTTGATGTGACAGTTGCTGAGGATTCCATAACCTCATTAAAACTTCTACTTCTTTTTTTAACCTCGCCATTTTTAATGTTTACATGAACGCTCAAAACCTCAGAGTAATAGCTCAAAATGTTCCATAATCCATTGCACTCGCAAGCAAGCAAAACGGGAGAAACTGCGGTCGTGGGCGTGATCGTTGTGAGTGCTTAGTGGAACGCACGGTAGGGGTACGTTTTTTTGTTGGTTTCAAAATGCGGCATTATCTGTTTTGTATTATGAAAAAAAAATATTTTTTCATAGTTCCTGGAAGTTTTTACAGCTTTATTGGGGGTGACGTACTTGTTAAAATCAAAATATTTTGAAGCTGAAACATATTTGTGTTTCCAATTACATAATTTGTTATCTTTAAGAGTTACCTTGAACGGAGGTAAAGCTTTACTAATGACAGGAGTGATTTGACACTTGACATAAAACTCTAACCAACATTCAAACTTCAAAAATTGTTACAAAGCATTTTTCAGTTTTAGTGAATTCAAAAAATGGAGTGCTTACTTGGTATTAAATTTAATGATTTTGTTTTAATAGCTGCAGATATGACGGCTTCACAAAGCATTATCGTAATGAAAACAGGTAACTTTATTTTATGGAATTGATGTTTTTCACTATCATCATGTCACCTTTTAGATGAAAATAAACTACATAAATTATCCAATAACATTGTTATGGCGGTTTCTGGAGAGTCCGGTGATACCACTCAGTTCGCAGAGTATATCGCGAAAAATATACAACTTTACAAAATGAGGAACACGTATGAGTTGAGCCCTAAAGAAGCAGCAAATTTCACTCGTCGAAATTTAGCAGATACTCTTCGAAGCAGGGTAAATAGTACTGAAAATACATTTCGCTTTAACCTATTGAAAATTATTTTATAGAGTCCATATCATGTTAATCTTCTCTTGGCTGGATATGACAAGAAAGACGGGGCTCAGTTGTATTACATGGATTATCTAGCGTCTGTTGCTAGTGTTGATTACGCTGCCCATGGATACGGAGGATATTTCTCCCTTTCCATAATGGATCGCAATTATTTGAAAACCCTGTCGAAAGATCAAGGATACGAACTTCTGAAGGAATGTGTTAAAGAAGTTCAAAAGAGACTTGCTATAAATTTACCAAATTTCAAAGTTCAGGTTATTGATAAAGATGGTATTAAGGATATGCCTAATATAACTTCAAAAGATTTGAATTGATTAAGCAACTTCAGTTTCAGATTTTTTTTTAAATAAACATTTAAAGTGTCCATCTTGTTTTTATTAAACACAATCTAAAATTTGAAATATATATATATCCCTATATCCTGTTTGGTATAGTGGTTTCGTTGTTCTTGGGTTTTGGATTCTCTTGGAAAATGGAAAAGTTTTTTCAATTAAGTGTCAAGACGTTTCGCCCCCTGGCTATGTAATTTTCCAGCAATTTGTTGGCTAAACTCGGCTGAAATATTGAATAAGTTCATTTTATAAGTTTCAAATGTCACCAAGTCGTATGAAAATGCTCACAAATTTAACCGTGCCTAGTTCTATGAATGGGAATGTCTGCAACAATATTTTAAAGGGGTATCACGTCAGAATAACTGATTTGACTATAGTCGATTAGAAGGACGTCCCTGTGAGTTATGGAATAAAAACTAAAAATCATTTAGACACTTTCTCATTGATTGAAAATCTGAGACACCTTTCCATTAATCAAAAACTCCAGTAAATGAAAGTGTTTTTTTGTAGAAAGTTTATATTTTTCTTCCTGAAATACTTGTCACCATTAAATATTCCATAACTCTTATGCAAATTCCCCAATCGACCACTTTTCAGTTACAGATATCATGTACTGTATTTCCTGTGATATGAATTTGAATGTTATCCTTTTGTGTTGATTTTGGTCAATAGAGTGAGCAAATATTTTAAAGTGAACCAAAATGTGCTTACCTTGAGAATTTCAGCGACTTAAATCGAATAATGTAGGTTTTCCTGTTTCACACTCCGGTGGGCAATATTGGTACTCTGAAGACATTTTACAGCAATATCTCATTCATCACGGGCGGCTTATCGAGCATGCGAGCGATATGGTCACAAATGGGGCAAGCACAGTAATACACGGTCTGAATGTTAAAAATCGAATACAAAGAAAACAACAGGGTGAAAATAATAAATTAAAACGGAGTTCAAAAGGGGTAAAGACTGAATAAACTGTCTACCTAAAATACAGGGACATTTTAATTTGATTATTGTGGAGTGGTAAAGAGCAGCCCTTGAGAGGTACGAACTGTAACAACACGCACGATTCCATCTTGACCTGGATGAATATCAGATATTAGAAGCGAACGTGAAGGAATCAATTCGTTTTTGATTAGGATTATAGTTCCTTTATTGACATTTGCCGTGGGTTTTATTCACTTCCCTTTCTGGAATGAAGTGTTCATATATTCTCAATTCCAACAGTTCTACTGAACCAACAAGGTTGGTTCATATGGAGAATTTTATCACAAGTGATGCAAGAAATATGACCTTTATTGACAAAGCAAACGAAAAGGCATATATAGGCTTTATGAGTTTTAAAGGCAAGAAATCTCCCCAACGAAATGGTGAATGGACCTTCAAAATCTACGCCAATGAATGAGAAAAGTTTGAGTTGAGAGTGGATAACAGGTAGGATGTTGTTTTCAACAAACGAGACACCTAGAGAAAACTTTGCGAATAATGCGTATGACAGAAAGAATCCAAAATTTTTCAAGCAATAAAAAATGCAGGTTCTGATGACCTAGATGGAGAAATTGTTCATGAGTATTCTAAGACATTACTTTTTTGATTTTAAAAATACATTGATTATAATGAATAGCTTCGAGAATCGAATTATGTTAACTATAACGTCTGCCCGCGTTCTCGTAGATGGCGCTTCATTGCTTAGACCGCTTCTCTACCTCCGTGCATCATCCCCGTCGTCTTACAGTAGACGCGACGCGGAATGGCTTACTGCGTTGCATCAAGTAAATCTTTTCGTGATAACTTGTGAACGATTTGCCAAATTACTTAGTGCTAAAGACAAAGTTTATCTATATTAAATACTTAAAACAACAATTGTATCAGTTTTTATAAGACTGACAGATATTCTAAAATGTGCATTGTATGAAAGGTCCAATTTAATTGTATTTATGAATCATTAGAGGCTACCACATAATAGGTAGATATATGCTATCGCAGACTTTTATTTAGAACTATTAAAGATAAACAATCTCATGGCAAATAATCTGCACGTCACTCCAACTGTATAGGCAGCGAACGCCGAGATAGCTCTCAGGGAGCAAGAATTTTTTCGACTTACTTGATACTTATTGTTGTATTATGAACAAAATTACACAAAACCTTTGTAAATTGTAGCCTATATGTGATTCTGACGTATGAGCTGTATTTATGTAAAGTTTCATCTAAATCCGTTCAGTTATTTAGGTGTAAAAGAGTCACAAACATACATCCATCCTCACAAACTTTCTCATTTATATTAGTATCGATAGATTAATAAATGAAATGCAGTATCAGCAGTGTTTCATGATAGTTTTGATAAGTTGCTGCTTTTTTTGTATTATGCAAATGATTTGTCAGAATATCTGAATGATTGCCACCTTACCATGTTTGCGGATAATACCACTATCACAGTTACAGGGGAAAATATTGATGTACTGCTTAGTAAGGTAAAATGCCTAATCGATGGTTTTAGCTCCTGGTGTCAGCGAAACAGATTAATATTAAACTCCACATAAACTGCAATAGTAAATTTCTATAATAGGAAAAATAATGCTCCAGATGACCTACAAACTATTGACGAAATAAAGATTAGTAGCGAAGTAAAATTTTTAGGAACTTACTTGGATGAAAGCTTATCATGGGATCTGCAAATAAAAGATGTCTGCAACAAACTAAACAAGACATTATTTGCTTTAAGGCAAATGAAATCTATGACTGAAATCGGATTTTTACCTTTTTCCCTACCTATACAAGTTTGAACAGTGGGCTATTAGGATTGGGAATAGGAACTTCATCACTAAAAATTTTGGAATGAGTTTCATGAACCCTGTTAAAGAGTCCAATTCCTAATAGCCCATTGTTTGCATGCCTATGCTATTACAGGAAAAAAAGTGAGGATTAGATCTACACACAGGTAGTAAATGTCAACAGGACAGTAACAAAATACTAGGAATTAATTGAATGACCCTCATAATGCAAGGTCATTATTTCAAACATTAAAATGGGCATAACAAGCTATCCTTATTTGTAGACCTATGAAATTGTGTCATTATATCTCAAAGGGACTAAGCAATGTAATCATGAAAGCTTGCATGGGAAGTAGGGCCACTTCAACTTCATATGGATAACTCAGTCATCTTTCCATAAAACGTTAATGCATTATACATACCTTCCTCTTGAATCATTACCTCTATTTGTATAAACTGGCAGTGGCAGTTATAGTATGTAGTGTCTGTTAACCATACCTTCTCAACTCAAGTCTGACAACTCAACTTTGTTGGCAAGAATTAACTGTTATTGGATGGATATTTTCTATCTCTTTTCTCTTCCAGATATACATTTCATACAATATTTTTCATAACTGTAATTCGGTATTGCTTCTATTTTGAAACGACTTTAGTTAAGTTTATCTAGGAGTTTACAGTAACTGAATTTTCAGAAGATTTTGAAAAATAAATGACAACGAACATTACAAAAAAGGATTTTAATAGAAAACATAATCATAAATAACTTTAAAAACAATATGATTTGCACCGAACATTTTTTCAGACAAATACAACCAATATATATTTTTTCTCAAAGTGGAATATGAACTTTAGATTCACAGTCTTTGTGCAAAAAATTATTTAAGACATCAAAAAACTTGGAAGATTTCAAATATGTTGTTTTCTGACAAATTTATTTAACTTTCTTGGCCTCTTGCTTTGTTTGCTTGTCTTCATTTTTCTTTTCTTCGGTTTTCTCTTCAGTTGAATCTTCGTACCTGTGTAAAACATCATTTGTAAATCCAAAATAGCTCTCGCAAACAAACAAGTAGGTGCTCCATGCAATAAATATTTATTGAAAATTATATTTTTTGGCTTTCTGCTTTTCCTTTCCATTAGTATATAGAGAATGGAAAATGTCAACAAAATAAAAATGAAATACCACTCTTAACATAATAGGTTCTGTTTTTGCTACAATTAAGATATCGTAATGCCCATTCCCTTAATTTTTATGCTTGTTGACTCCTCTTTCAGTCTGCCTGAATCTATGGAATTTTAGGAATGGCCTATCGAGGGAATTTAAATCGAAGGTTATTAATACTGTCAATGTTGAACATGCTGGCTGAACATGAAAAATTATCATTATTAATACAATTTCGTTGACATGTATCAAAGTAACCCGACTGTATTTCAAATAGAATGAATGAGATCTGTCACCCAGATGTTAGATATTTTCAATGTCATTGTGACAGAATTGATGTGTTTCAAACAGTGGATATACGATACTGGCTGTGATATACACCAAACAGTGATTGAGTAATTTTTCTCCAGATATTTGATAAAATTCAGTAGGTAAATTCATCACAAAAATGTTGGTATTGTTCCTATTTCTCACTAAACACATTATCAAATTTAGTGCATCAAAATTATCTGCAGACTTAAGCAAAGTGCATAATAATTTATTGTTCAAAATAAAAGGTGAACTTTGATACAAAAACGCGGAAAATATAACCGTATAAAAAACAAAAGGGATGAAATTCTATTAAGAGAATTGTCCATGGGACAAGATTGACGGCGGTGTTATTCTTAAAAGGATTGATAACCAATTTCTGTAGAGAAAACATTATAAATTCAAAAATTATCTAGTTCGTATAGTCAGACAAAAATTCAAAATGACTATTCATTTCAAATGTTGTAAAAGCAAAGAGTGCCCAAATTTTTATTATGCTCAGTACTTTAGCATTCAACCTACTGTGTAGGTATATTCGAGACTGGCTTGAACGTTTAAAGTTCATTTCTTTAGATTTGTTTACTGCCAGTCTTCAAGCATAGCCCACTGACTAATAAGAAAGAACAAAGAAGATGTCTACATAAGAAGACTGAAAAAAGCTTTAATCGATTTTCAAGATGAAGGTGCCAGATTAGAGAAAGACATTATAAAAAAGATATAAAACCATGAACGCGAACTGACAAAACTTACCTTGGAAAAATACGATTTGATACTGATTCAACTTCAGATTTAGATTTTAGTGAACTCATCGAAATTAACAAAGAAATGCTAATATCAACAAAAAATCTCTTAGAACACTAGTTAATATAAAAGAAATTGAGAATGTGGGACAAGACATGAACTGACAAAACTTACCTTGGAAAGATACGATTTGATACTGATTCAACTTAGGATTTAGATTTTAGTGAACTCAACAAAATCAATAAAGAAATGCTAATATCATCAGAAATTCTCTCAGAACATTAGTTAATATAAAAAAAATCCAGAATGTGAGACAACATATTTTTTACTGAAATCAGAAATGATTCAAAATTCAAAATGCAATATTCAATTCCAACCAGGACCTAGCTCTTCAAGAAGACACAAGGACGAAAAGTTATTCAGTAGGAAAGTTAGAGAGAAATTGAAGTATGCAACCTCAAGTGAAGTTTCAAGAAAAAGTCGTAGTTTAACAGATGCCGACATAAAAAAAGGGCATCTGCAAACGAATTCTATGTAAATCAGGGCATTCTGAAAAACCAAATCCTTATTTAATGCGATGACTTTGGATATGGTTTTGGAAATATGTCGACTAAAAAATATAGAGATAAATTAACTAGGCAATCTATTGTCAAACCAGAAACATTATTTGAATATGTATTTAAAGATATTGATATTTTGAATCTATCAAAAAATTCATCTTACATTATTATATTACAGTTTTGGCAGGGTCAAATTATTTCAGGTTGAGTAAATATCATATGGAAAAAATTACAGCGTTGATGAACTTAATCATTAATTGAATATAGGACTAAATGAATATGTTAATAAGTTAAACTGCTATGCCGAAGAGATACCTCTTTCTTGGAGATCACTAGGTTCAAGGGTGAAAAGCTTAATACTCATAGCATTGCAAAAAATGCTTCAAACATTATCCTAGGAAAAAAATCAAGAGAATAACTTGAACTTTTCCCATATCGGTAACGATTTTTCAGTAGGTTCAAACTGTTCCTGCTCTCAAAAAAAAAAATTTAAAAACCTATAATGACTATGAATCTCTGGCGAATGAGTCACTAAAAAAAAATTTACTTTTATCATTTGACTTGAGTATGCACGTTGGTCCAGACACGCGCGTTTCTCGATTTTCTGCGTTACAAATTGATTATATCTGTAGTAATTTAGATAAGCAAAATGTGTCATGCAGTTATTCTGTCTAGAATCTAGATTATCTGATCATGAAACAGTAACGTGTTTTATTCTTTCAGAATCACCAAAAAACATACCATAAGTAAGCATGGGAGATTGTTCAGTCGTTCAAACTACGATAGGTTCTATTAGAATTGCCTCTGGACTGACTAGGAGACCAAAATGTCCGAATATGATTGATTTTTGTTTTAATGAAATGAATAAAAACACTTTTGTAAAATTACCACTGGTAGATTTTATTTATATGACTGGTTTCGGGTTTGACTCCATTATCAAGTTTTATACTTAACATTGGAGTCAAACTCGAAACCGGTCGTATAAATAAAATCTACCAGTGGTTATTAGACAGAAGTGTTTTTATTCATTTCATTATGTGATCATGAATTACCATAAAATAAACAAGTCATCAATCACACATATTAATTTTTGTCATTTCACAATGTATTATTGGAAGTGTTTGATAAGTGAAATGGTTAAAACATGAAAATGGATAAATCAACCCTAGCTGATATTATTGAGAAGTTAGCCAAAAAAAGTTTGAATGAATTCATGAACTTGCACAATAGTTTGAGCCACAATTAGTTTGGGTTCCAGACATATGATGATATGATGATACATATGATGCAGTTTTCTCTTCAATATATAAAGTTTATTCAGTAATAAATGCTGGTGATGTAACCCGAACGATTTTTTGCATTATACATGAAATATTACTAGAAAAACTTCATTGAAACTGCTGTGAAGGGGCGACATACAATTAGTTTGAATCATATCTTTTCGGACGAAATCAGATGAGAGCAGAGCAATTATAGTGTACCACAGGGTTCTGTGTTAGGTCCGGTTCTGTTTCTATTATATATCAATGACATCACTATGATTGATCTATCTGGCAGTTTCACTTTGCAGATGATACGATGATAATATTGTGATGTATCTTATCAGAGATACATGAAAAAGTAACATCAGATTTAGAAAAGGTAAAAAGTTGGTGAGACGTTAATTTAATGTTTCAAAAACAAATAATATTATCGTTCAAATGCTTGTTTGATGAACTTACAATAGACAATGATATGTTACAAAATAATTTAAATAATAAATTTCTAGTTGTCTTCATTGACAATAAGTTCCAATTTGATGAAAATGTCAGACAACTGAAGAGTAAGATTGCCTCCAGATGTTATTCAGTGAGAAAAGTTCTAATGAGCTCGGTTTCCACACATGCGGAAACCGTTTACCATGCGCTAATTGAATCTGATACACTATATGGAATACCATTTTGGGGAGCATGCAATGCAACCCTTCTTTCTTCTGTGATGATACTGCAGAAAAGGGCTATGATATGTTTGTGCCAAGCCAAGTCTAGAGAGTTCTGTAGAAATCTTTTCACTCTCAATAGTAGAGTAGAGTAGAGTTTATTCTCTTGTGTGACAATTAAAAAATCAGGCATTTTACCGGCAAATTGTCCTCCAGGGTTAAGTTGTAATTCAGAGTAAAGAGTAACGTTTTTGTTTTATCATTATTTAGACACAATCTTAGATTCGTGAAATATTCCTGAGCACTTTTGAGGGTGTACGATTCAATATTCTGATCATAGTTTCTCATTGAAACTAGTAATGTGGTATTATCAGCATATTCAACATGTTTTGACGATAAGAAATGAGTTATATCATTAACATAAATAATAAATAGTATGGGACCTAAGATTGAACCCTGGGGAACTCCCCATGTAATTTCCCTTTTGGATGATACCTTTTCGTTTGAGGAGGTACACTGATATCTTCCTGTAAGGTAACTCTGAATGAATGAAAAAGCATTTCCTCTGACACCATAACTTTCCAATTTTATTAAGAATATCATGTGACACACAATCAAAATCTTTGGAAAGGTCCAAAAAAGATGCTAGTGTCACATTTCCTTTCTCAAATTCATCTGTGATGTGAATAATCATATCTACAAGTGCAGTTATAGTAGACTTTCCCTCACGAAATCCATGTTGTTTAGGGTTCAGTACATTTTTTTCTCTCTAAAAAGTTGATCAGTCTGATTTTATAAGCCAATTCAAGCAATTTTGATAGAAAAGGACTAGGGAGATGGGTCGGTAATTACTGATATTATTTTTGTTACCCTTTTTAAAAATCGGTATAACTTTGGATAGTTTAAGAATCTCTGGAAAAACACCTTCTGCAAAACAGGTATTGATGAAAAACGTTATGGGGCTGATTAATTCGTCTTTTGCAAATTTCAGTGAGTCGCTATTTAGCCCATATTTATTTCTTGACTTTGATGTGCTTAATCTGTCAATCACGGTAATTATCTCTAATTCTGTTACCGGAGTTAAGTAAAATGAAAAGGCTACACTGTTATTCTGTATTGATTCGATATATGTATCGCCATTAGACTCTAATTTTTGGACAATTTCCTTGTCAATGTTACAAAAGTAATTATTGAAGTCATCCAGCAATATTTGGGGGTTAGGAGAAGTGATCATAGTAGGTTTTATGAGTGACCATGCCATTCTTTGCTTATTCTTTGCATTCATGATTAGGCGTGAGTTGTGTGATATTTTTTCAGTCTTAATTGCTAGTCTATACCGCTTCTTCATTTCCCTATATATTTCCCTCATAGAGGGGTCATTTTTAGTGTATTTTATTCTTGGTTTCTCAAATTTCTTTATTTCTCTGATGGGAAAAGCTGCTTCATAGCTATTAATAATGTTATTTGACAAAATGCTGCACATCACCTCAGTATTGTTAGTTTGATAAAATTCTTTCCAATCACGGTTTGACAAAATTAGTTTGTAGTTATTAATATTATTTGTATTTATTACTCTATGTCTCATTAGAATATTGTTCCCAACAGAAATGCAACTATTTTTATATTGAAAACTTATACATTTATGATCTGATAAACAAGGTTCATATGTACTGGCAGAGCTCTGTGCTTCATCAATGTTCGTAAAAATATTATCTATTCTGGTAGCAGAAAATTTTGTTACCAGTCATTGGACTGTTTATTCTGGAGAGTTTGTCTGATTTACAAACAAAAATCAAAGTTTTGACTTTGGTTCCACGCCTCATGACCTTCGCAGTAGTAAGTATAGTTTCAGACTCCCAATTTCCTCCTCGAATTTAATCGAAGATTTGATACAATATAATGGAGGGTAAATTATTTAACCACTTACCATTGAATAGTAGATCTGCACACCTAAGCATATTACAATTTAAAAAAGTAGTGACGATTCTCTCACTGATAGACCCTATTGTAGTTTGAGCAAGTATTTTAATGGAACTTTTTAAAAAATGTTTATTTTATATTTATTTTTCACATTTTTTATTGTATTGATACTTTTATGTAATCATAACTATCCTCATTTTGTGTATTGTATCTTTATGAACAAATTTTCATCTATTCATTTATAGTCAAAAATGCATTATTGTCATAAAAGTGTTGGTTTTGCTCAAGAACCAAAACAATCTTATTTTACTTTTAAACACTTTTACGACAATAAAGCATTTGACTATAAATGAATAGCTGAAAATTTGTTCATAAAGATACAATACACAAAATGAGGATATTTTATGTTAAAAGGGATATTTTATGTCGAGTTATTTCTCAGGGATATGAGAAATAACTTGATAGAACATTTTATTCTAAAAAAACTAGTTGCTTTAGCAATCATTTTGTTTCTAGAAGCTTTGCCAGATGAAATTTTCACCGTTTACACAAAATTTTCAACTTACTTGAACATTGCAGTTAAATCTCCTTTTAGAAGAGCTAATCCAAGTGGTGTTCCAATGCAGGCAGGAACTAAGTACAAAAGAGCAGGCTGTGCATGTTTGAATACGTGCATAACGAAAATCGTCGCCATCAATCCCAGAAAATAAGCAATAACGGAAGCATGAAAGTAAGTCTTGGTTTGCCTCTTCAAGCTGTGATCGAATCTCAAAAGAAGAGCAATGAAAATACCAGGAATAACAATGTCGCCTAATCCTAACATCGCAAAGTTATTTGCCGACATGCCATTCTGGAGAAGATCTTGTGGGAAGACAACTGTAAAAAAATACATATTTTACAATGATTATTTTATTTGTATCATTTCCAGCCGATGAAAACTCACAATTAGCTGGAGTTATCTTGTTCAATTTCGATTATACAAGCTAACTCAGATTAATACAGTTAAAGTTTAGGTAGAACATAAATTTGAAATTCGCAAAAACTCACATTTCTGGGGTTCATTTTTTATGTTCCTATGCCATTCAATGAGTACTTTTAAAAACATACATTACCAACATCACACGTCTCAAAATTTCTGTACAATTACAAATAATTTCAGTTTGACCAGTGGGGCTTTAGAATTTGGTTCAGGGCATAGGCATAAATTGGAGGGGGGCACCGGCGCAATTGCCTCCTTACCTGTATTATTCAGACTGTTACTGTTATTGGCCATTAGACGCAGGTCTTCATCACTCAGTTCATTTGCTCAATACTTCATTATGATGAATGTAACACTAATAAGAAAAGCTTTATTCTTATATTATTTATATGCAGGTTTCTCATATATGGTGGTAGATGATTGAAGAGCCATACAGGCACAGTCACAATACTTATAGATGATCATTAGACGATACTGTGGCATGAGGAGATTGTCGTATTTTGTAGTCACACATTCATTGTTGCAATTTATGAATCATTTTGATGTAGACAAGACATGGAAATATGTATAAAGCTAGAATAGTGAATAGTGAATATTAAATTTTTTGAATGATAATGATGAGTCCATTTTATTAAGTAGAAGTGGAACCTCTGGCGTAAAATAAAACTAAAAACAACCACTTTTCTTGATCACCAGAAATGCAATTATCTTCTCAACGCACGTTTCACCAACCAAGTTGGCGACTTCAGGAGATGGAAAAAACCAGTCTTTGATTACTGTGATTTTGTTCTGTTTTCTTTTAACTCAAGTAAGACGTATCAGTTGTTGAACTTAACTCATTTTGATGAATGTAAAAAAAACAAGTGGAGAATTTGCAAACCGAACAAGGTCTTACCTTATAACGGATTCCTAGTACAGGTAAGAATTGAGATAAAACTAGCTTTACAATAGTGGTTTTCTCATGAGTGAAATCACTAATCACCAGGCTACTGTCTGATCAACACATAAATAAATTCTTTTGATTTTACTATTTTCCCATTATTCATGAAAATATGTAAAAACTCATTTTGATGAATGTGATAAAAAAGTGGAGAAATTGCAGACCAATTGTTAGGAAAATGGTAATGCCCCATTATGGTGAAACCACATATTTTTTTCACATACTTTCCAAAAAATTAAGATAACGCTTGTCAGTTAAGTTACAATCACAGATAGAATGGTCAAACAACTAGTCTCTATAAATTCCCGCTGAAACATTGAAACCTTCCTAAAAGCTCTGGACTTTTCGTGTTACCAAATAAGAATCGTCATCCTCTCTGACTTTATTTGATAACAATCAACAGCACATCATATACTCTAAGTGGTATAGATTTATAAGACTATTTTATTTTAATTTTCTTTATGTAGGTTGATTTATTAGATATATAGATACAAGAATAGTTAACTTTCTAAGGTTAATATAATGTAGAAAAATTGGGGGGTACCCGTTGAATAAATAAATAAATTTTGAAAAGGGTCATTCGGATGTTTCTTTCCCGGTTGAGGGTTTGTTCACGAGATGGAGCTATTATTAGTCAATAATCTATCTCTTTCATACATACAGTCTGCATTGAAATTAATCGAGTCTCAGACACTTTGATGCTTGAAACAGATTTTTCCTGCACTGATGCGAGTTAATACCTACTGCTTGATGAACGAGAAACATCTTCGAAACTAACCTCTGTGAGGTATCTCGCATAAATGTCTGTCTGATATAATTCAATATCCAGTGTTGTATTAGCCGGATAAGTAGTTGTTTTCCGGTAGGCATTTACCAGAACCTATGGTATAGGTAGTTGGGAGAGATGAATATTTTGCGATTTTATTTTGAATTATTAATTTTCTAGTTCTTCAAATATGCTCAATATTATGAATTGGACATTTTCCTTCATTTCATTTGAGATTTTATTCCCATATTTTTTTCTTGACAAACATGAATTCACAATTTACAGAAAATAATGATTTTTTTTTAAATGCACAAAGTGGATTACCTTACAGGTGGAATGTAAATGTGTGGTAGATTATTTAAAATTAACTTGAAGTAAAACGTATTAGAGAAATTGAGGGTGTAAATGACTAAACTTATTTACAGTATCTGTAACTGTAACAATTCATTTTAAAAGTGTAAATAATGAACTTGGGAAATATGGCACATTTCAAACAATATTGGGAACATCGAAGAAAGGTAGAGTCCTGTTGAAATATTTGAAGGTAGACAACTCTAAGATGGTAGAATATTTTGTTGGTCTTTTGAAATCTATTTTGGAGTGTACATATTGTGGACACTTAATGCCAACCTCCAATCCATTGTAGGATTTGTCTCTTCCTATATCACATGGTACAAGCCAAGAGAGTTTCAAAATGCATACACTGGCACATGGCACAAATATAACAATTTGTGTGCATTTCCATTTCTGTAAATTCCCTTGTAAGTAGAGAAGCCTATGTTCTCTTCTCATTGCACTTCTGAGGTGATTTTTTAAACGTTTTTCAACTGTATGTATATTAGGTAGTTCCAATGTAGATGATCATTATTACAATAGTTTTTCAATATATTTTTACACAAAATGCTTTTCTGATATTGATAATCCTATTTTTCTTGTCAATTTTATTTATTCATACTCACGTTTGATAGGTGCTTCAAAACTTTTTGCTACAGTAACCATTACATCTGTTCCAAAGACCCAAAAAATATCGTAGAAGAACAATCCACACAGTAAAATACAGCCCGTAACAACATTGTTGAGGTGCAGTAATTCAACAGCATTTATTGAGAATGCCAATCCAAAAAGATTATTTGCTACCCAGTGTTTCTGAACTAAGTACCAAGCCCCAACAAGAGAGCATGCAGCTAGAGAAACTACATCATAAGTTGAAAACCTGTAGTCGATAATATATTGAGCAGCTTCACCTTCTCCTTGTTTGAATGTTATATGGAATGGAATGTTTGGTATTGCAGCTGGTACCAATTTACTGACAAGTGGGCTAGAAATGATTTGAAATTAGTTGTTACATAGCGTTTTTAATCTTGAAAGCATTTGTGGGTGCTTCTATGGTATGTATATTATCTTATTAATTAAACTTCCATACATTTTGCCTTTTTTTCATAGTTTTTTCATTTTGAAAAGCATCTAAGGCAGCTTATATGGTATGTTTTAAACTATTATCTTATTAAAATTAGAAATTTTGCCATTTCTAATTTCAAATGGCACAAATATTCCATTTTATGATAAAATAAAAAACTCTTTTGAAATTACTTTCATAATAGATTTGATTTTTCCAATATCAAATGAAACGAATACTTTTATCCAATGATAAAACAAAATATTTCTTCTGAAAGTACTTTCCGAAAAGAAAAAACTTTTCGTGATATCTTTTTAATAAATCAGGGTTTACTGATTTAGGCCACTAAATGCTTCATCATTTGAAATGTATCATTTGAAGTCATAAATCGATATACAACTAGTAAAGTTTAATTCAAAATAGCCAATCTGGGAATGTTTCCTGATTTTTATTAAAAAAATAATTGAAAAAAAATCAATGACAGTGGTACTCAATCCTCAACCTGTTGTCAAAGAGAAGATTTTTGTGATTCTTTTATAATATCATTTTCTTAATTTAACATCTATAACTTGTGTAGAGTATACATAAAATTGTAACAATTTTCTTTGCCTTCACTTAGATCAACATCACACTAAAATTTCAAGTGACTTTATTCAATGACGTGTTTGGTTATTTAGTTTGTTATTTGTGATGAAATGAAGGGTATGGTAAATGTTGTTTTTTCTGGCACATAATAGTCTTGAAAATTAGACCGATATTTTTGTCAGCTGATAAATAAAAAAATTGACTACTTTAAGAGCTAACTTTTGGTAATAAAATGTTGTGAAATGATACCTTCTTTCCACAATCACATGCCAGCTGACTCTTATTTACCCATTTCAAATGTTTTCACACAATGAAAACTTCTATTTCACCATTTTTAGGGAATCATGTTCTAAATAATATACTGAATGACATCTTCCTGCAACTAGGATCATCAGTTTTCTTCATTGCCTGAAAACGCCAACTTTGTTGGTGAAACACACGTAGAGAGGACAAAGAGATCAAAGAAGGTGGCATTCCTTATATTTCTATCTCATAAAAAAAAAGTCATTTTACAAGTTTTATTACAAAAACTTGATTACTTTTTCGTGATGTATCTCCGAGAATAAACCAAAGCATCAAGTTTCAACTTCTGAATCGTGATCGGCGGATAAAAATACATGAATCTAATTGAAAATTTTTCAAAAAATAGTGTGTGCCAAAAAACGAACATTTACCAAGGCCACCGTTGAAAGAATAAGTTGTAAATCCACTTTAGGTACTTTCTATTTTCAACATAACCATTTGTTCTGGTATATAAGGATGAATTCAGGCACTCAGTCATCATTCAAAATAAGAAGTTAATCATTAATTTTCAATGGAAACACTCCTGCAAGAGCATATATATTATCTTATACAAAATGCATACTCATAATACGTATGTGTACAAGTTATAGATTTTAGAAGTAAATAATGAAAAATATGAATTTTGTAACTTGTAAACATAATTAAGATTGCTGCACGAGTCTACTGCAGATAGTGTTAAATGTCATAAGTAAATTCAATCCTAATACTTTTATGAACATGTTATCTACTTTTAATTATTGGGTTACCTTAGTAAATGAGTGAGGGCTAAGACTCCTAGGAAAAAGAAGTATCCCGTCAATAATAGATTGATATACTCCTTTGAAAATAATTTGAAGACTATATAGAGTGCAAAAAGGGCACATGAAGCCATAATTGGAAATATTGCTGCATCTTTCTTCGTCATTTTCTCCGGTTTCTGAAACATATTTAACATTTAGAAATAAAATAGTGGCAAAAATATGGTTCATACATTTTCCTTATGGTAGACAACAGATCTATAGGAACCAAAGAATATGGGCAATAAAGCCATTATCACAAGACTTCCATAAGCTACAGCCATTCCTTCAGGGGTACCAGGAGTTCTTTCAGTGACATTTTTCGCCTTTTCAGCAACAGTTTCTGTAGCTTGTGCTAAAATTGAGTTATAAACGTTTGCCATGTTTTGCACAGAGACTTGAAAGATTGACTTGACGGCTGCATGAAATTTAAAACGTCATCAAAAACTATCTTTTTTTGACAGACGAGTTTAAAAGCCACGTATATTTAGAGTATGGTCACAGACTCATCAGAAATATGGTTCGAAAAAACCCGACTAGTAACCAGGAGATTTGACACTGGTTACTGGTTACATCTTATTCGGTAGTCAAGTTAAAAATTAAGTGTTGTTTTTATGTTAGCTTCTCACAGCAATGAAATATTGATTCGACGAAACAATAAAGAGGCAGCAGCTGCTGCGTTGTATACTTTTTGCTGTTTATAGCAAAGGGGCACTACCACTACCACTACCAAAACCACAGAATAGTAATTGTGATACTACTGGACTACTGACAGTGGTGCACGAAGTAGGGAAGAGTAATAGATACGATATTTGTAGGTATCCATTGTTTCATGTACGATATTCGATATATGTCTGTCGATATCATCGAATATCGATACTTTTCACAAAATTTCGTATCGTATGATGTTCCAAAATACAATGAAATCAGGGGCCCTATATAGGGGATATACGAAATTTCAACGATTCTTGCCACCACGTTTATAATGTCATTAGAGAGAAAATAGCCCTAAATTTGAACTGATAGTTTATATATAATCCATTTGTTTTCTATTCGATACTTTCATGTACTTGGATGTAAAAGCTGAAAGTTATTAAAAAAAAAACATCAAAACTTCAATATTTACTTCCTAATGTATAATAAACTTCTGATTTACCTCTATATTCGTGAGTTGTTTGGAAATATTGCGGGTTGCAAATACCTTTCAGTAATTTATTTGATAGAATATTTGAATATTTGATAAAAGTACATTGTAAGGTTTATTCATGATTTTTTTCCAAAATTTTTATAAAGCACGAACCTATGCTAAAAATGAACTTGATTTATTTTCAAATCTTTCAGTATACAAACTGAATCTATATTCACAGTCCATTCAGCCTGAATGCATTCCAGAATACATCAAGTTTCAAATATGAAAGGGAAAACACATTTACATTTCATAAAAATTATTTCTGCTGTTTTTTAGGTATTGAACCTTCCACAATTCAACAAATAAACAAAGCGAAATCAATAGAGAATCTGATGAAGTGTAATGAAGTTCAAAGAGGATTTTCACCAACAAGAACTTGAAATGGAAATGGGTTCTTCCTCCTCACCAATTCTGAGGAATATTCTCATTGAACATTTTAAGAAAATATACATCCAGAGTTACCATAATAATTCAAAGAAATGGTGGTATATGCTAACAATATATTCGCGAGCTGGGACTGCAACTCAAATGACATCAACTCTTTTCTGAATAATTTGAATTATATTCGTATAATTATTTGATCACATAATAAAATTCACGTTGGAAAGTAAAGTGCATAATCATTTCCCTTGATGTGATGGTGAAAATAATCAATAAAAACTCTTGATGTCAAAAAGTTGAAGTTATTAGTCAATCAAAAAAGTGATTCCATTTTACTTTACTTTTTTGACATCTACTCACAGCACAAAAAACTAATAATTTCTCACTTATTTTATTTAGAAAACTTTCCATTCGATGTGGTAAAAATAAAAACAAAAATAGTATTTTTTCTTGTGTTATTTGTTTAAATATATAATTAGGTATTACACTATTACTCAGTCGTAATGTAATTGAAATCAAACTTCAATAACACAACTTCTACACTACAATGACAATCACAAAATAGTCATAATTTTAACGGGAGAGATTTCCTTGTTGATGGATTGACGACAGGAAATTCAAATTATCAATATTTCGCCTCAGTTCTGTTAGAAATAACCGTAAATCTCCCCGTTTTGCTCCTTTTCCGGCTTTCTGTTATGGAAGTAGAGTATCTGATAATGGCTCAGTATTTAACTTTCAATAAGTAGGTGTAGGTACCTACTACCACCGTATAGAAGCAAACACTCTATACCAGAGGTTATCAAACTTATTTTGTCTACCGGCCACTTCGAGAATTCATTATTTTCTAGCGTCCAACCAACTTTTTTTACTATACTACATTTTAAGAATCACAATCGCAGTCATTATTTTAACAATTAAATTATGTGTGTCATGTGAAAATAAGACTTTCTGATGAGAGTAATGTAAAACACCATTTTGTAATATTAGGAAAACTTTTATTCATGTTATTAAAACAAAAATTTCAATTTGAATTTTAAAACTAATCTAATGTGAAGGATGAATTTGATGATTTTTAACAAGTTTGTTGATATCAGACTCGAATTTATTTAAAAACAGCCGTAAGTCACCGCGTTCGGTAATCTGCATCCGATTTCTCTTTTTAGTTCGCAACGTTGCCACAGCACTAAATTACGTTCATACAAATACGATTATGGGAAAGCTATCAAAAATCTTTGAACGATGGACCACAATCCAGCGTATAATTGCGGGATTTGTAGCCAAAATTCTTGGTATCCATTTTTGAATTTTATTTTTATTTACTCGTTCGTTATCAGTTCTGTGAGTTCTTCTTCCAGCTGGGGTGATATCCTGCTGTGTTGACATTTGAAAAAGGATCCAACATCCAGTCCGGTATTTTCAATTTTAAAACGTCCTGGAATCGTTCTGCGAAATCACTGTGGAGGTTCTCCAAATGTTGGCATCAAACTAGCAAGTCGTCGTTGTTGAAGGATACTGCTGAAAAATTAGGGAAATTGCGAAACTCCGAAACTGCCGATATTATTCTTGTATAAGAGCAATTTGGTTACTAAAGCAGCAACGACATTTTTTGTTTTAATAAAATTCAAGTCGTCACCTTGAATTTGGAGATTGACATCATTACATAATTTATACAGGTCTGTCAAAATATCATTCTTTGAAGTGATGATGTCGTCGTGCAATTCTTTTTTTGTTTTCCAAGAACTCTATTACAGACTCAAATACACTGTAAAATCGAGTCAGACAGTTACCTCTTGATAAACAACGCACTTCTGTGTGAAATAGCAATCTGTTGAAAATCTTCATCACTAGCAACACAAAGCTGATTAAAGAATCTGTCATTTAAAGAGCTGTTTCGGATTTTATTGACTGCTTTGATGATATATCGCACCAATTGAGAGAGGCGCTCAATATGCCTATGAATGACGCAATGTACAGCGAGCACATCTGGAATTTTAATTTTTAAGTACACATGAAGCCTTTGTGACGTCCTGTCATAGCCGGAGCGCCATCCGTAGCAGCTGATATAATATTCTTCAGTGGATTTTCTTTCTTATTACAAAATGTTTCCATATATGGTTTCTCCTTTTGTATCCGTCTCTAAATTTCTGGCAAATAGTAGTTCTTGATATATTTTCTCATTTTTAATAAACCTCACGTATGACAACAACAATGCTTCATTGGTTGGTAAAGTGGACTCATCTAACTGAATTGAGAACTTAGAAGTCTTCAGATGATTGCACAATGACTCTTCAATGTTTTCAGCCATCTCATCAATTCGTCTTTCTTTGTTTAAAGAAATCTGTTTCTCTTTAAAATCTATTTTTCCGTTAATCAGCTGTCGCACCCCTACGAACGACAACCCTCAGAAGTCGAAATTTGTGCGAGCTAATGATTAACAAGGTTTACCTTTTAACGTGTGATTCCTAACACGCAACTGCACGGAACTATGGCTGAAAGGAATTTTTCGGATAATATCTGCCGCTGGATTATGGAGCACAGAAGTTATTACTTCTTTTATTGCCGGTAAAATTAAATCCTCTCTAATAGTGTGAGGTTTATCTGTTTGAGCAATTAGCAAGGAGATATTGTAGGAATCTCGGAGTCTGAATGCATTTTATTCAAATGATCTTGTAGCCTTGAGGGTTTCATCGCTTCATTCGAAAATATTTTTGACAAATAAGGCACATAGGCGAAGATGGATTTGTGGGATTTTCAATAAATCCATATTTTATATAATTTGTTTCTTCTTTTTTGCTTCCGACCAGCGCCCAATGTAAGGGGGGGGGCAAACCGGGCAAATGCCCGGGGCGGCAAAAATGAGGGGTGGCAAAATAGGTTAAAATTATATCATCTATGGAATAACGCATGTGTAAAAGGCGGCAAATATTATTTTGCCCAGAACGGCGAAATAGCTGGATCGGGCGCTGCTTCCGACATAATTTTGTCTTCAAAATGCCGAAGTAAAGAATCGAGTATTGAAAACTTGCTAATGACACCACTCACAGTATTCACCACCGCATGTACAGCACTTTACCTAGCTAGTCGCTAACTAAATTCACTTGTTTTCGTAATATCGTCGAATGACATTACTGGCTGGATGGCGCGCGCGCTTTTATATGAGGCAGCGGGCGGGCCTAGTACTTTCAAGAACGGAGACTAGAAACTTCTGGTTTAAACGAACTCGAAGACAGCTTGGCTAACCTACTTCCTTCATGTGATTTTCTTCTGGATGCCGGTTGTATAAATATAAACCTGCTAACTCACGACCGATCTCTTTCAGCTCATCGAGAAGCCTTTCCGATTAACTGCCCACTCTCAATCCCTTATTGACATCATCTTCGTTTCTGATATGGAAAGAAAATCAGATGTAGATATGACTGATATTCAGGAAATTTTACACCACCGGGCAGTGTTGTGAAAATTCAATACTTCTCTTTCTTCTAGAAGAGTTAAAATGGTGTATTTTCGGTAGTTTTACAACTAAACTTCAGACATCACCAGAAGATGGCAAATGATACTTTCTCGAAACGTTGTGAATATAATCCTTATGGGGATGAAATACACTCTGCAATCGCCAGTTATTGATGCTAGTATGTGATGTGGTTAAACCTAGCACCACTGACGAGACCTATGTCGGATCAAAATAGCGCCATCTGGTGTTGAATCATAAATACGTTGTGTTTGGGCTTTAGTTTTCAACTATGTAGTTGCCTTGACGAGGACGTATCTCGTTGGCGGTACCTACATGTCGAACTCTGGCTTTACAACTGACCGCCTTGGAAATCTCATTTATCTATGATATTCGAGGATTGACTTCTCTGTTGATCACATTGATGTGTCTTCATGAGGGGAAATGTCGTCGACCTTTCGCACTCAGGCTGAGTTCA